GGCGCGTGCGTAGGAATGGTCCCGGTGATCTCTTGATGCTCGATTCGCTCTAACTTTTCGCACACAACTCCGATTCGCACGAAATTTGTACCAAAATTCTCATCATTGAATTCTCTTCGTCCCGGTATGGCTTAGTCAGATTTTCCGGGTTGGACGGCTCGGTCGGCTCGGACGGCTCGTCTCCTCGTTCTCGACACATTGGACCTATTCAACACCAAAACAAAAGAGAAAAACGCGCAAAAATACGAAAACACTATACAATAACAAAAATACACAAAACACGATAAAATGGACCGGTCGACACTAAAATGAGCCTAAAAACTATAAAATAAAGCACACAAAACACACGAAGATAACGACAAAAATACAATAAACAAATACACATGTCAGGCATCCAACCCCTTAGTTGGATAAAGGCAATTAAGGTCTTTTTACTTTATTCAGTTATAAATTCAACATTTATTGTACTGAATAACACACACGAAAAAAGAAAAACTATAGAAAAAGTGCACTTTTAAACATACTCAAACACTCAAATATCTCTCTCTCATTTGTCTGACTATGCCTATCTCTTATCTTTATTGCCGATATCTCCTATTTATTCATGTTTACTCCTTTTTTTAATATTAAATCACTACTCGTACACACTTAATTAGTTTGGTAACAAACATTAGCAACAAAGAGGGCCCAATCAAGTGTTATTCAATATAATTTCTTTGTTGAATGTGGTATTTATTTTTAGATTTCAAATATTGAGTAGTTATTCTATACTATGTAGTTCATGTACATATATATGTATAGATTTTTCAAGGAGGCAATATTGTTAGATCTTCATTTTGTAGTCTATATAACAAAATAGAACCCCTACTTATTTAAAACACATTTTTGGCTTTGTTATTCGATTATCTAATCTATGAAATATAATTATCATAGCTACAAAAAGGTCTCAACTTACCCATTGCTCACTAGTGTCCTATTAGAGATCAAATCATGGATCTTTTCTACTTTACCTTTCTAAAAATGATATTTTATATGTTCCAAATGGTAGCTTAAGATAAAACCTCCAAACCATGGATTACATTACTTTTCTAAAAATAATATTTCATATATTTCAAATAGTAGCTTAAGATAAAAGATCACATTTAGATCACTGATACTGAATTTT